AACTATTATTCAGTTTTAAGGCCCACCTATTAGTACACTCTATAATTCAAAATACAAAAATCAAAGAACATAAATATTGACAAGTATTTTCAGAATTGACAATAATGCAAATGAAATGACAGTAAAATATAATGTTGATTTCACAAAATACTGGAAATGAAATGTTTAATATTTCAGTAGAATAATCCATTACACTTAACTGTCATTGAATGACAAATAAGGAGAAAGTATTAACAATAAGGACACTCAGACTATATAAGAAGAAAGAATTGGATGTCGTTATAGAACACGATAAACCATCAACAAACATAATGCATGTAAGTCCACAGTTAACGATGTGTACGTAGAAATAACTTGATAACTGACACGATTCGAATGTACTTCTTCACAATCTTCTTCTCATACTTGTAAATGATGCCTGTATATTTTCCATTTCATTCACTTGTCATCCGAATTTACTTCATCATAATAATGCCTCACTGTGGTGACACACAAATTACTACACAATCCCTCACTATTACAATTTATCATGTTCTTGCCACAGTTACCACAGAATCTATCCTTATTCACATTTCATTTCAGGTCCAATATCTGTTTGTCATTTTCCTGATAACTCTGGATGTTATTTTATCTCAAGCCGCAACAGGTGAGTGATAAATAATACTATTTTATCAAAAATGCTGAGAAAGGAGGGTATAAGTACAAAAAGGTGTCTCCCTAGTACTGATATGGCAGACACTTTGTATTCAGCATGTATTTCGATGTTGAATGAGAAATAAGGTTTCTCCAACTAATCTTTAAGATTTCGATGAAATATTTCAAATATATGTTTTTCAGGCGACCGTGAATTGATTTTCGTGGTTCATCATTATTCGCGTTCGTTTACTTCAACTTGTTAACTCATGTATGCAAACAAACATCTAAAATGAATCATTTGTTTCGGATAATATGAAGAGACAATGTGATGCAATCAGTTATTGTGTGATGGTGTAATCGGTTATTGTGTTGAAAATGCTGTATGTTGACATTAATTAATCAAGAATTTGGAAGAACTCCTCATAGTGTAATTAGTAAATTGCAAAGTTATCTCCAAGATAATGGTAGTTACACTATTTTCAGTTATTTTATGTATTTGGTAAGTATCAGAAAGTCGTGCTGGAGGTTATTTTCAGTTGAAATATTTCATTTTTGTATAGTCGTTTTAAGACACTATACATCAATGTTTCTCTCCTTAATCCCAAATGAATCTCTCCCTACGATACATGTTATATTCTCTTAATCCTTTCATTTGCTGAAATGTAGCATGATTAGTTTGATCATGAATATCATACACTTGAATCGTATTATTGTTTCAATAACTTTTTACTTTGTATACCTCGAAAAATCGATATGCATTTAGCATAAACACATCGTCAAGTATTCCACTCAAAATTCGACTATCAACAATAATTGTTATAGGTTATTTTTTATTTAGTTGATCACTTTAGTTCTTTTTTTATATGAGAAATTCTGTTTTCCACATAATTAAGGTCCTTCTGAAGATGAAGTAGTAGAAAAATTTGAAGAAATTAAAGCAACAAAAGAATTTCAAAAAGCTAAAGAAAAAGTTATAGAATCATTATCAGATAGGATTGATAAATATGTTCTGGACCACTTTCGTAAAAATCAATAAACCTACTCAAAGTCAATTGAATAATAATAATAATAATAATTAATATCTTGTGTTTTAATGATAACATTAATATTAATTCGTCTTTTAAAATAAACAAATAACCGTTTGTTTGCTTTTTGAGTGATTAAAACAAAAATTTGGTTTTAATAAATGATATTTAAATGTTACACCATTATTGTTGTTGGAAATTATTCAAATATGGGCATGTGTTTCATTTTATTTAAGTTCCATTTACCTGATATTGTACTGAACAGAACACGAGTGGGGACAAACGATGTATATTTAGTACATTACAAAGTTACTTGGTAAAATAGAAAAACCATACGATAATACTTAATTTGCAAAATGTTCAATAATTGTCTCGAACTTCATTGTTCTTGAATTTCCATACTAATTGTTTTCTATTCCCGCTCTTCCTTTCTTGACCTTCCCCATCTTCTGCTACCAGACATTACATTCCCGACTCGCGTCATATACTACTTATATCAATATAAGTAGCACGCACCACAGTATAACTGAACTATTCAATTTATTAATATCTTCTGGGTTATATTTAACAATAGGAAATAAACAGTTGATTAGTCTCTTATTGAAATAATCAAGGATTTTTATTTATATCAAGTTTCAAATTATGGAAATACGTATTTACAATGGTATTTATTTGTAATTATCTTCTGATAATTAGAACATTTTGGTTGTATTGGATATGGAATTAGAATTTTTGACAATTGATCACTTCCATTGATTTGATAAAAACTAATAACTTGTGTTATTCAAACATTTGAGATTTGTGACAAATCTTAATTGTTTGACTCGTGGATTTAAGCTAACTAAAAAGTGGATTGGTTAAAGTTAGACATTAACGCCGTTGGATACCGGCTCAGTGGTCTAGAGTTTAAGAGTTCGCGCGCGAGAATGATAGATCCTGGATTCGAATCTCGCAAGGTGTGATCGTGGGTGCGCACTATTAAGGAGTCCTATACTAGAACAAAACGGCCGTCCAGTACTTTCAGATTTTCCATAGTGGTCTAGCTTCAACTATTAAATGGCAAAAAACTGTCAGTAGGATTTAATGCGATTAGCTCTAACCATATCCATATTCTCCTTTGTGAAAGAGATAATCTATTCTGAATTTGTAGTGAACCCCAGAAAATTATGTGTAATCAATCACTTATTGGGTGAGAAGTTTCAAATCTACAAGCACTTTACTTCAGTCACGCCAAATAATTGTACATGAAGCTGGTTGTATAATAAAAAACACTTAACAAAATGATATTAAACTATACATATAAATTGAAATAAACAGAAAAAGTGATTTTAAAATGCTTGATAAATGCCAACAAAACTCCAAAAACTAGGTTATTCACAGTGTAACTTGTATAAATAACAAGCTAATTGTACCATTTTTCACTTGCGAACACTTTTTGTCATTAATCTCAAACAGTATCTTTATAGTAACAATTTTTAGTTGTGTTTCAACACATTGTATGATGAATTTTTGCTGTTATAATAACCACTTCCTTATTGTCAAATAAATTACTTTACCCTTTACAACCTAGATTTGTTTACACATTTGATGTTTTTGTCTAAGAATCTACATAAATGCTTATTCGTGAAGATTTTTTAATACCCTTGTATCTTGTTATAATTCTCCTGAACTTCAGTCTCAAATATATTATGTCCCTAAATTTTGTGTTTTTTACGTATCTATTAACCCTAAGTCCATAATCCTTAATGGCTACTTTCCAATTAGCCGTTTTTGTCTAAGTTTATTCAATTTTACAGACATTTTCAGAAACTTACTTTTCAATCAATATGACTAATGACACTGATAAGCATTAGATTCGAGATTTACTACACCTACATAATATTACATTTGAAGAGGTAAAATAGCAATATAATGCTTTATCACTTTAAAAATCCCATCTATATATCACTTTTAGGTCGTCTTATATAATACAGGATGGTCCATTGTTGATAATAAGAATCACTATATATCTTCTGAAATAGTTCGTTATTGCATAACTGTGAATAGTTGTGTTAAAGTACTATCTCAAATCAAACTGTCTGATATTAGTTATTGAGATTTGTTAACTGGCTGCTGGCTAAAAAACGAAATTAGGAATCTTAATTTATCAGATTTTCAAATCACATTATTTTTATCTTTGATTCTAATATTAAAATGTAAAAGATTATCTGCATGATGTAAGCGCATGATTTGATTTATTAATGTAATTCAGAGCTTACACACAGCTCACTTTCCAATTTGCCAACAGAAGAAATTTGTATTCTCATGATAGTTGTGTTCTTTTGTTGAAATTCGAATCTAACACTCGCCATTTCAAATGCAAAAAATTAATCCACTTGCCTGATGGAATTACTACGGCTACATATTTTTTTTAAAAATAGACATTATTTATTTCTGATTTCTCGATGGCATCAATTTATTAGACCCTTTGTTGGGATATTCAGAAAAATATCCCGAAAATTATCCTGTTAAGTCTAATGCTATTCTTGAACGTGAAATGGTGTCATTTTCCTGTTGGTCAATATTCGCGGTAGTCCTAACTGTATAAATATACATTTGTCTGTAAAGTGTTATTCCTATTCTTATTCTTGTTCTGACCTCATAAAAAATTTCATCTACGGTTCGTGTCCTGATATATTGGAGATTGGTTAACAGTATTAGGGTCGTACTGGGATATCTGAAGTTGGTCAGTCGGTAGAAATTAAAGTAGCCACCCCGCGGTCCACAATACCCTTATACCAATAAAAGTAATTGGTTTTCTATTGGAAAAGATCAACAATAAACAATTGGAAATCATGTTTACATTATATATTGTTTCAATAAGTATTAGCTTTACTAATTCAATTAACATGTTTATTTCATTATGGTCCTATGAAGAAATAACTATTATAATCATAGAGTAGTTTTTTGGAGGTTGTAGTAATTTAATAATTAAATTCATGAATCAATTAAAGCTAGATCATCATGAATAACCTGAAAGCACTAAATAACTGTTTCATCTTAGTATTGAACTCCTCAATGTCAATCAAATTACTGATACTTTTCTACGAAAAACTCCATAGAAACAAAGAATATTGTTTTTTTTGTTTTGTTTTAAATTTTATTTACTAATTAAACCAATCCTAATTTCTTTTTTATTATGATACTACAGAATATTCCTGTAAATATTAAACAGAATAAAATAATAAGATAAGAAAGAAAAAAAAAGAAAAAGATTGTTTATTGTCTAATATAAATGAATAAAAACAAACAATTTGTTTATTCATTTATTTTTTTCAAATCATTCATTGAAACAATAAATTATGGTTTTTTTCTTATTTGATCCAATACATAATTATCAATTTTATCTGATAATGCATTTATCACTTTTGTTCTGACCTGTTGATATTGTGGTGTTTTTTTAATTTGTTCTAATTCCATTTTCTCATTTTGATTTTTACCTAATTAATGTAAATGAATTTTTTTATAGGGGTGAAGATATTATCCAGAATAATAAACAAAAACTCCACTAATAAATTATGTAATATAGAGTACAGAATAATAACGAAAACATTTATCTGTACCTTAGATAGTGTCTATTATTTATATCAAATAAACGTCCATAGGTGAATCAATCTAATATGGTAATTGAGTTGCATGGAGTTAGGGGGTGAAGATATTGTCCAGAATAATAAACAAAACTCCACTAATAAATTATGTAATATAGAGTATAAAATGCTTTCCGAAAACATTCACCTGTACCTTAGATAGTGTCTATTATTTATATCAAATAAACGTCAATAGGTGAATCAATCTAATATGGTTATTTATTTCGGTGATATGATAGATTATTGAGATGAAAAATAGGGCATTATTCCTATTTTATTTCCTTAAGAATGTTATAATTATTCAGTTGAATATGAAATTTGTAATCTTTTTCCTATCGAGAAATCACGCGTGTTCATTGATAAATATCATAAAACTAATTAATTATAAGTTAAATATCTTCATTTTGTTATGAACAATAATTAATGTGTACATTTAGTGTTTGCCTTCTTCACACGTTCATTTACCTTTAAAATACAATATTACTAATAATCTAGAGATATATTATTGTTTTTTAAGTTAGTTCAAAACTTTCTATGATAAATATACTCAAGCTTTCCACAATGATTATTTACAGAGGTCCCTCGTTTCGAGTATAAGTGATAAGCGTTTCCGATATAACAATCAGAGACGACCAGATACAAAAAGTAGCATTAAAAGAGCCAAGACAATAAGTATTCAAACGACAAATTATAACAATATTTGAGTAAAGTAAAGTAAAATGTCTTAAATGATTTAAGATTTAAAAGTCAATTACTTTAAATTGTAGAAATATAATATAAGATTGAAATGAAATCCATTCCCTATAATTATGAAAATATAGTTATATTTCAATATCATTTAAATTAGCATTATCCTTTTGCAACCTAATGCATTAAAATATTAAAACATTATCTTAGTTTAACAATTAATTATCAGTCTTTAGGCATTTAATATCACAAATTGACTGAAATTAATAAGTATACTATTTTGAACTTACAAGGTATATTCAGAGAGTAGTCAGACAAAAGTGGACTCATTGAGATAATATTATATAATAAAAGTTAGAAATTACTAAACAATACTGAAAATAACAAACTACCATTTAGTGCTACTTACCTTGTGACGTCTGTGAACAAATCACATTTATGGTAAGTAAAAAAACTGCGAGTAAAAATTTAATCTAAAATTAAACATAACAAAAAACAAGTAATATGTTCAGTATGAGAACAAGAAAAAGAATTTTGATACTCATAAATAATATAATAAGTTTGTTATTATGGTTTAGCAATATCTACTATGTTGTAGCGAACTGTACTGGGTTTTAGTACCAAAGTGAATATCAGCTCTGATATTCAAGTATATCCATCTCATAAGTTCCAAATAGGATGAAACATGCTTCCTGAATTTCACCACTAACGATCATCCACCTCTGCTTATAACATCTATCAAGATTTGTAAACTATCTAATCTGCCAGGGATAATATTTTATGTTATGAGCAGAATACAAGCAAAATGTACTGGAACAAGAACTGCAACACGTGAGTATGGTAAGCATCTATTATGTCAAAGGATAAATCAAGAAGTTTGTGCGACACACGTGTATTAAATCATGAAAAGAGAAGTATTATAAATCTCGAGAAAGGTAATACTTTACTCTAGTGTATATGATATTGATATTATTAGTCATAAACTTACATGCATCGTAGTTTTGAACTGAATTTGTGTTCCGTAATTACCTACAATACTTTCTCTTTATATAGTTAAAAAAAACCACATTCCTTATATTTCCCTCTTGATTGATTGTTTAATGACATTTTCTTATAACGAATAATATTTTTGAAATCGACATAAAATACTTCTCTTTTTCCAGTCGTCTATTATTTTGACAATAACAATATATTGACATTTTATTTGTGTTGTAAATATTTAGTTATTGCGTTAACTTTGATCTTTTAATTGTGTATTCATAGTAAATTAATAACAATACATGGAAATGAACATAAATTATTGAATGACCCTTTGTTTTACCTATGTTATTCTCTTTTTTAAATCATTAGAACAAAACAGTATATATTATTTATGTAAACAGGAGTGGCTAATAGTTTGTTTTTATCGACTATTGTTACATTTGCGAAAATTATTATCGTTATAAGTTTTTGTTCAAATACTTGTCATATAAACTAACGAATTAATTATTCTGACTTTTATACAGTTAATGGAGAGATATGATTTTTGTTGAAAAACCTATTCTAACTGTAGAATATACTTAAACAAAACTAAATTTCATTCCACTTTATTGTTCAGTTAGACCTAATTTTATATCAGTCCATCCTTAATAGTGTCATCTTTTCAGTAAGATACCTGCATAATTAATTCATTCAGATTACTATAGAAACAATCAAAATATGGAGGTAAAAATCAATTGAAATTAATGGAAATTTTCGAAAGATTCATATGAAATTAACTATGGTTAGTTAAGGTTAACATGGGACTTTTTCTCTAGTTTTCGTATTTATTTCCTTGAATATAACATTAAAGTCCGATTAAATTAAACGTATAACACTTTAGTACGACTAATAGTTGGTCAACAATTAGTAGAAATATCTTGCTATTCAAATATTACGACTTTCGTATGCAAATGTACTCATTGTTTCTAGTGTCAGATCATCTATAGGGCAGGTCAAGTTAATGATAACATTATGGCATACTATTTGCAATTTTTGTTTCTTTTTTTCAAAATATTCAATCTTTCTGATTATAAATCTTCACTTAGCTATTCACTCAAACTTTTTTCAGGCAGGAATTTACATGAGTAAATCCTTACTTTCCAAAACTGAAAATTTGTAGTTCAAGAGCAGAATTGTAAATCATATAAATCATAAATTATGATATTCGTGCAAACATGAGTGACTATTAAACGTAACAATACGTGCCTCTACTCAGTTCTTACTGCTACATAGTGTGTTGAACAAGAACACAGGTGGGGACAACCAGTGAATTTAAATATACAATTACAGAGTTCTTTCATCAGATGTGGAAACCATACATTCATTGCTTCATTTGCAAATCCTCCATCAATTGTCCTAAACTTCATCGTTCCTTTATTGCCATAACAATTACTCTGTTCCCGTTCTCTTCGATTCGATCATTTCAACCTTCTACTGTCAGGTTTCCCACTTTCTGTTGACGTTCCATACTACTTATGTTTGTCGACATAAGTAGCATACACCACAATAGGATTTTTTGGTGAGATTATATGCGCTATTTACAGAGAAAAACACTTCCATAAAACGATAATTCAGTATCACATAAATATTTCACCACAATGAAACTGCTACAACATTGCACACTTTTTCTGTGTACAAATATTTATTATATATTCTCTTGTAAAGGTAGTGCTAGGCATTTGGAGAAGAATTTTTATTCACTGTCTTAATCTACTACAAAGAAGTTTGTTTCTTCACCAAATTATTTCACCATTTTATACGAAATAGATGAATGCATAGTACCGGACACAGAACAACGGTCAATGAGCAAAACATGACGACCAAGGCAACTTTGATTTCTGGAAAATGAGTTACTGAGTGGTAATTCTCGAATGCTCTTTATTCTCCTCAAATTTGTTTCATAAATTTACATTTTTTCCAAAATTTCACCTTCTTAGTTTGAGATAGTCAAATTTTCAAGAAACAACTCTTCTAATGCAATATGAATGCCCCTATGATTTTCTTAAAAGAAACGTTTCTTAGTATAATTAACTGATCACAGGTTTTTGCATCTCATTCTGTACATGAAAACTACAGATATTTGAAATAATTAAGTTAATGGTTTGTTTAGCTTGTATAGAGTACCACATAAAAATACCTTTAGAACAAAAAATTCGAATTGGGAATTGTTTCCTGAACATTAAAAATATAGAAAACTAATCTTATTGGTCAACAAAAATATTATTAAAATTAAGATTGAAGTAGTCCGCAATGCGACTAGCAGTCTATTTAACTATAGAATTGATGATAAAATCCAAAAATTCTGGAAGTAGAATTCGGGAGGAACAAAAGTTTTTAAATGTAATCTACAAAAATATAATATACAATTGTAACACGTGTAATCTGCAGTCACTTACAGGCGGGAAAGACCTGAAACCAAAACACACAATGTTAACCGAGCACTTCACACCAAGAGAGAGAACACATAATGAAGCCATCAGTCGTTTATTTTGAAAATTAAAATCCGCGGGTTATGTACAGAAGGGAGAGCTAGTTTACAAAACAGTCTTATGAGTCATCCTGTAGGTTCAGTGTATGCAGAGCTTGCTCTTTTTCTTCTAAAGCATTTATTCTTGGTTGCCCTGCAATAGAAAAACAGAATCTATTAACAACACCACACATGATGATTTTTAACCCCGTTACAGAATTAACATTCAAAAATGAGAGCTCATCAATTGTAACTATGTGTACAAACACTGAATACTTATCGGGTTACCGCCTCATTATCTGATGTGAAACCTTACACAGGATCGATTATATATGCGAAAGTAAATGTAACTTTGACCCAGCCTGATATACCAATGGCATTTACACGTAAATTACTTCCAAGCCTTCTTTTTGATTATTTTTCTTTTCATTCATCACTCTTGATGCCTACATTATCAATGTTTTCAACTTTCCAGAATGATTTCAGAATAAGTTGTTTTTCAGTTTTCATCAACGCCATACTTAATTGACTCAAGTAATCAGTCTTCAGTTTCACGAGCGTATATTAGACCCTAAATTTCATTATAGTCCTTTCTTTATATTTATCAGAAATCAACAAAGATAGTGCTTTTACTTGATCATGACTCCATGGTTAACCATAGTTGTTTAAAAATAATTATACTTCTCTTGATTTTTTCTTTCATACTCATTTTGAAAGTGGACATGCATATGCTATATAAATATATCCAAGGTATCCACTACATTCCGTGCTTTTCATGAGATCTGGGTGTCTTTACAATCCACTCAACAACTAGCAAAAATAAAAGAGCTGTCAGTAAGCAGCCTTGTTTTACATCTGTCATCACTTCAAATGTACCTGTGGGCCGCCATTTATGCGTGAAATTTCAGTCGAGTTCGTCATAGGGGTTTCGTGTGAGGTTGATGAACTAATCAGGTACTCCGTAGTGACGAGGAAGATTTTGGGGATGATTAAAATAAAATTGATTTGTAAAAACGTTTTTTCCTCATTTTTAACTTTTCATGATCCTTCTCAACTTATAAAAACACCTAAGTGATCAAAGAATTTTGTTTAAGTTGACCTCCTACTCACTTCTCCCATATGTTACTAATTACCATGTGCTAAATATGTGGAGATATGCCTGACAAGCTAATTTTGTAAATAGTTTTTTGATGTTATTCGTCAATTTTTCACTGCATGTACATTTATCATTAAATGATTGTACGTGTTGTTTAAGTGAATAACCTTGAACACTTCCTTCTGTTGTGTTGCATTCATAGCACGACACACTCCGTTAACTGCTAACAAATACACTGTTACACACATACCTCTCGTTCTCCATTCGCTTGTGATTGTGTTAACTGAAATCTAAATCAAATACTGTCTACATCTATAGACTGTAGTCGGAATATATCATAATCTACGTTGGATTATACTACTGAGAGTTCATCAATCTTACTGGAATCTTCAATCATCTATAATTGTGGATTTTTCGTACCAGACTCAATTAGAACACGCGCATACCTGGTGAATTAAGTAACGTCTCTAATTTTTGTTGTGTTTATAACATTTAACTGATTTATATTAACATTACTATTTGTACTTAATAACTCTGTTATCATTTTTGAGTTCATATATTGTTTGATCTACCACAAATACACAGTTTCACATACACACATCATTCCGACCTTGTTGGTTGCGATTTTTCAACCGTTTACCAACAACTCTGTTTCAAAGGTTTAGACTTAAATCATGCAGAATATGCGCCATCAATTGAACACGAAAACTTTGGATCTATATCTAACATCCCTTGGAATTATTTCCCCCACATCATCACAATAGTGGATGTATATTTAGACTTATGACCATGCACAATGCTGACAGTAACAAGTAAACCATACATTTTGTATTTATTAGTTTCTGCCTTCTGTTAACGTATTCTTTATATACGTTTTCGAAGTGTTAGCTGGGTAAAAATACTTTCATATTTGTATTAGCCCGCAACAGATTCTATGGGGTTTTTGTAACCCAGACTAATACCGGTCTTCACCTGGCATGAATCTGTAAACTGTCCATTCTCCATCTACAACATTGTAGGGAAATCCGTCTTATGAATTCTGTATAATGTTCGCAACCGAAATAAAAAGCTGAAAAAGACATCCATAGCATTTTATTGAACAGTATTGTCATTAACTTGTTTCTTTCCCCTGTCTCGTAGTTTAACCTTTATTCACGTCTCTTTTAACCGCAATTTATATTCTTCAGTCTTCCTCATCCGAACTTTTATAATGCAACTTTGGTTGAAGACCTGCCTCTTGTTACCTAATTTTACTGTTGCATGTTGCCAGACTGTTGACAATAAGGTCGTATTTGACCGAGCTCAAGTTGACGGCGTGATTCGGTGTGTGATCTTCGACTGTCAGTCTGCAAATGTTACTGCAATCCACGTAGATGGACATCTGATCCTATCTTGTCGGGAACATTTTCAT